AACTTGAGATCCAAGCACTTTTAGGAGAAGTTGTGTGAAGAAAAGTTTTAGGTATCATGGATATCTAAAACTTCCATGTTGGAAGTTTCTCTTGAATCATCTTGCATCATGGTGAAGACTTGGCTTAAAGTTATGAAAAAATAAGAAATTTTCAACACTTAGAAAAATTTCTAAGTTTAGAAATTTTGACTTTTCAAAATGAAATCTTGGTTTCTTGATTTATTGATGAATAAGTTTCCTATTTTTACATGCTTTGATGAATTGTGATCTTTGGCACTTGAAATTGACCAAAAAGTCAAAGTTTGACTTTTCAGTATACAGTTGACTTTTGATCAGTTGACTGCAAAATTCATATGTCAATCCAATGGACTTGTAATGTTTTGAATCATGTCATTAGGTCAAAATGGTGCACTTGGACTCTCGAAATCATGCCTTAAACAAATTGATCATTTTCTAGGTCAAAAAAATCAGAAATTGCCCTTTCTCAGTCAAAACCCTAATTTTGACCATTTTGCCCTTTTGAAGATTTGATCAAATTTCTTAAGGAATTATGATCCAAACTTGATCAAATGATACATATGAGTCTAAAATGTTGATGTAGATAAAAAATTATGAAGTTTGACTGTAAATTGACTATGGTTGACTTTTTCCCCAATATAGTTGATTTTTAGGTCAATTGTTCAATTGATTGATCAAAAGTGTGATCCGAGGTTTGAAACTTGACATGAGTGATCTTGGGGGTCCATAATGGTACATGAAAGTCATATGAAGCATTGATAGTCCAAAAATCCTTGTGCAAACCCAAACCCTAATTTTGGTCATCAATGCATGAGGAGGTGTCTTGAGTTGATCAAACCCTAGTGCAGTCTTGAGCCTAAGGAGATCTTATGAGAAAATTCTTGATAGGTGAGAGGGAAAATTTTGGGGTACAACAGCTGCCCTGTTCAATCTTCTTAAACCTGAAGAGTTAGATTGGCGAGTTTCGCCAGTCGTGACTCGAAGGTGGAAGATGATTGGACACTAGAGTGCCCAAAAATTTGCACTCAGTGACGTGATGGTTGAGGGAATGGGCTTAAATATGACATTTGGAGACGTGATATAAAGCTGTAGGATATGGGCTTAAAAGATGCCATCCAAAAGTGATTGTTGGTTTTGTAATTTGTAAGCTGAAAGAATGAGCATCAGAATGACGTTCGCGTTTGGAGCGTATCTGAACCGTATCTGGGAGCTGATTTTGACTGATTATCAAAATGGAATCTGTGTCTGGAGCGTATCTGAACTATATCTGAAAGTTGAATTTGAATGAGTATCAGAATGGCGTCTGTATCTGGAGCATATCTGAACTGTATCTGAAAGTTGAATCTGAATGAGTATCAACATGGCATCCGTGTCTGGAGCATATCTGAACTGTATCTGAAAGTGAATCTGAATGAGTATTAGGATGGCATCCGTGTCTAGAGCATATCTGAACTGTATCTGAAAACTGAATCTGAATGAGTATCAGGATGGCATCCGTGTCTGGAGTGTATCTGAACTGTATCTGAAAACTGAATCTGAATGAGTATCAGGATGGCATCCATGTTTGGAGCGTATCTGAACTATATCTGAAAGTTGAATTTGAATGAGTATCATAATGGTGTCCGTATCTGGAGCGTATCTGAACTGTATCTTAAAGTTGAATCTGAATGAGTATCAGGATGGCATTCGTGTCTGGAGCGTATCTGAACTGTATCTGAAAGTGAATCTGAATGAGTATCAGGATGGCATCCGTGTCTGGAGCGTATCTGAATTTTATCTGAAAACTGAATCTGAATGAGTATCAGGATGGCATCCGCGTCTGGAGCGTATCTGAACTATATCTGAATACTGAATCTGAATGAGTATCAGGATGGCATCCGTGTCTGGAGCGTATCTGAACTGTATCTGAAAACTGAATTTGAATGAGTATCAGGATGGCATCCGTGTCTGGAGCATATATGAATTATATCTGAAAACTTTGAATATTGTTAATGGTAGTTGTTAACCTTATCCTGAAAAGGGTAAAATGTTAGCTAAAATGCAATGTTTATGTTGTATGAAATGCATAGTATAATGCATTCGTGTTATCAATGTTTATGATATATGGATGCAATGTATGCATATGTGAGTTAGTTTGCTGCACTACTGTCAGATTGGGGAAAATAAATCCCTGACTGCTGTTGAGGATATGGAGTCTTCATGACTTGAAGTTTGAAGCGTTCGATGAATTTCCGCTTAGAGAAATAAACTCTGTTGTAAGGGGAATGTCGTGTACTATTTGAAAAATCCTGGTCGGGGAATTCTGAGAAATTTGTTGACTTATACTAGGGAGTGATAACTGGGAGTTTTGTTCCCCTAGGGATTAAGCTGTACACTGCGGGGAACTTTTATGGAAAATGACTTAGAGAGATTTCCCTATCTCTTAAAGCCAACAATGATTGTCTTTTATTTTGTTTATTTGTAAACAATAATTATGTTCAAATGCATATGTTCAACAATGAATCATTGGACATTTTTGTAAACAAGACACAAGAGTAAGAAAAACAGATAGTTTTGCACTTTCAAAGGAATATCTTTGTATTGACTTTGAGTAAGTATTTTTATATAGTGAGACAGACATTCTAGTAGGAGAATGTCGTCGTAAAAAACATGAAAATTTCAATACAAAGAAAAGATAACTATGTTTATTAATCCCATGGGGTTCCCATTTTGCTATAGCCTTTGTATCTCTGAGCATCTTGTCTATTTGTTGCCTCGTTCGAAGATGATTGAATTGATCAGAACCTCTGAGTTTGTCAGTTGAAGCCAAAGGTTGTTCGTAATGTGATCCAACGGGACATAGTCATACGGTTTAATTCCCTAACTTTTTCCTGGACCGCCCTTTTGGGTTTTCAGTCCACCGGGAAACCCTTTTTTTCCCAAATCGCCCTTTCGGGTTTTCAACTTTCTGGGTGTACAGATTTCTTTGTTTTATCCCTAATTTTTGCCCGAACCTTTTTTTGGTTTGTCGTGATGCCCTTGTTTTGCCGAGGTATGTCAACCTAGCGGGTCTCTTATGCGTAGTATCTTTTGACTATGTCCGCGTTTGCAGGATGTGGAAGGTCGTCACCATCCATGGTGGTTAAGATCATTGCCCCATCAGAGAAAATGTTTTTGATTACAAATGGTCCTTCGTATGTAGGAGTCGATTTGCCCCTAGGATCACCTTGTGGTAGTATGATGCGTTTGATCACTAGATCCCCAACTTGATATACCTGGAGTCTGACCTTCTTGTTGAAAGCCTTGATCATCTGTTTTTGATACATTTGACCATGGCAAACAACAGTAAGTCTCTTCTCATCAATCAAGTTCAGTTGATCAAGTCGAGTCTGGATCCAATCGTCTTCGTTCAAACCGGCATCCTTCATAATCCTCAGAGAGGGGATCTGGACCTCGATAGACAAGACAACTTCCATGTCATAAACCAGAGAATAGGGTGTTGCCCCAGTTGATGTGCGATACCCGTGGAGAGTTAATGGTAACATCTCATGCCAGTCTTTGTATGTGACTACCATTTTCTGTATATTCTTTTTAATGTTTTTATTTGCAGCTTCGACATCACCATTCATCTTTGGCCGGTAAGGGGAAGAATTATGATGCTGGATCTTGAATTACTCGTACAAGGCGGTGATCATAGTGTTGTTGAGATTTGTACCATTGTCAGTGAATCACACGTCTCATGTAATTTACGAATTGTCAATTATTGTAGTTTGTAACTTTTTGGACATAATCTTTAATCAATCATAGTAATATTTGTGAATTGTGTATTTGTATTTGTGATTGATTTCTCATTGAAGCATAAGGTCTCTATTTTCATTTTATGACATCCACATTTGAAAAAATATGATATTTATTTTTGAAAAGCCGTCAAATTTTTAAAAAGGTCTATTCACCCCATCCAGACCATTTCTCTACTTCATATTCCTACCCAATAATAACCATAAGACATATAGCAGTTTTTGGTTGTTTGCAAGCAGCATATGCTCAAGACTTTAACCTTGCTATCTCTATTGCCAACATATGTCCCGGATAGAGTACCATATGATCCTTAAATATTAGCTTATGGTTCTATTATTTCTTGTTGATGGGGTTTGCCTTGTTTTCTGCAAGGCGTGCTTGAATACGTTTAGGGAGCACACTATTTATTGTAAGAAGCTTTCAAAATTCAAATACTGATAAGACTTTGTTAGGGATTCTTTATTTGATATATTTAGGCGTACAGGGATATCTGTGAAGAAAGAGACGCTTGTGAATTTCTAGACTAACCCACAGAAATGAAGATCGACTCTTAGGCCAACACATGTTTTGGTGTATGGATGGATATGAGGAAAACATGCATGTGTAAATTTGATTGGGGTTTCTCCACTGGTTGGACTGAGGACTTAAGATGTAGGACACGTAGCTCTCAAAGCTGTTCAAAGTAAAGTGGTCAAATATAAGAAAACGTATTCCGACAATCAATATACTTTCATATCATTTGTCTTTGATACTTTTTTTCTAACATCAGAAACAATAAATATTTTATAAAAAGTTCAAAGACTTATCCATAATAATATTGTGTCATATAAGTCAATAAATATAATTTTTAAGAGAATTAATTTTGAGATAAAAAAAAATTACATAATTTATTGTCGGTCTACTATTTCTATATAATCTTAATTATATAACATTAACTAGTTCATATTTAATTTATAAAATATAAAAATATTTACTATAGTAATTTAAAAAACAAACGATTAAACATAAATAGGAAGTATTATTATTGTAATTTATTGAAAGAGAGGTAGACACATGACTTACAATCTCACACTTTTCCTTCCACAACAAAAGGAAAAGGACAAAATAAAATAGAGAATTACATTGGTAGCCAAATTAAGAACACCGAATATATAGTATAGCAACACACAATGTATAAAGCAAGAACTTGATGATGATTATATGTTTTAGTTGTAATCAGGATGAGCAATACAGTAACCCTCAAGGGCCTTGAAAATTCCATCACCCTTAGCTTTGTCCTTCTTCAGTTGCTCTTCACTAGGAGCATCATCACCTTTTGTGAAGTATTTCACACTCAGCTTTCCAATGGATCCTCCATTCGGTCCTGCAGACAATTTAGCCTCAAATGAAATTGTCGTTACCTTGGTTGCCATTCCCTAGTTAAGGACCTAAGTACTTTCAGATTTAGTTCATCATTCATTAAAGTCTTACCAAGAGAACTTAGAAGATTTGTCAAGTGCACGAATCTCTTTTGCAAGTCTAGGATGGTTTCTCCGGGATGCATTCGAAATAACTCGTATTTTTGATTCAAAGTATTTAGTCTTGATATTTTAACTTCAATAGTTCCTTCATGAGTTTGTACCAAGGTATCCCATATTTCTTTCGCTTTTTTTCATGTCGAGACACAGAAGAATTCATACATTCTAAGTGCACCTTGAATAATATTCATTGCCTTTTTTATCATAGAGAACCTTCTTCTTATCATCTTCGTCCCATGCAGCTTTAGGCTTTGATGAGCCAGCACCATTGATTACGGTTATAGGAATAAATGGACCATTGTCGACGGCATCCTATATGTCTTCTCCTTGTGCTTCTAGATGTTCCTTCATGCGTATTTTCCAGAATTCAAAATATTCACCACAAAATAGAGGTGGCTTGTTGTTACTACCACCATCTCTGAAAACTGGATTTTGATTTGCGGAAGCCATTCTGAATCTTTTAGGAACATGTTACCTATAACCTGCTCTGATGCCAAATGTAAGTATAAGAGTGCACCTAAGAGGGGGGTGAATTATGTACTTTAAAATTTTTCGGTTTTAGTGATGATGGATATTATTTTTCTGGTTTAGTGCATGAGTTTACAAATATGTTTCTTTCTTTTCTGATTTATGACTAGTGATGAAAGCGGTAAATACGGAAAAGTAAAGAACACAAAGATATATCCTGGTTCCCGTCACAGTCCGAGAGCACTCCAGTCCCCTTTCAACATGAAAGAGATTTCCTTATTGTTAGATCTCTAGACACAAGACACCCTAGTCCTTCTATACAAGACTCTAACCAATAAAACCAACAAGAAAAATCCTCTTGGACCAAGAACAATCCTGTTGGACCAAGAACAATCCCCTTGGATTTTCACTATGTCAACAATGAGAACAATCCTCTCAAAGTGACTTTACTTGTATCCAACAATCCTGGAAAAACAAGATTTACAAAACCACTTGAACTTATTTTCAACAATCCTGAAAAATAAGCAAGTATATAGCAATATTTGATTTGAGTGAGTTTGAGTAGCAATGATCACTTTGAGTGATTTTATCAATGAATTGATCTTATCTTCTAATGATAATAGTATACAATAACTCAAGATATATAATGCTCAAAGTTTTCTGGTTGACAATATGTGAAAGTGTGCAGAAAACTTGTGTATGAAAGTGTATAAAAGCTTGAGTTTGATTTTTGAAAATTCAGAAAATATGATTGGAAGAGGTTTTTAAAATGATTTTGGAAATGAGTATTTATATGTTCATAGCACCCTTTTGAAACAGCGTATAATTCTGCAAATGAATCATGAACAATTGCCAAGATTGAGTGAAATATTTCCATGAAATGATGTTATGAACAGGCATGAGTAAAGCTGTTGTTTTTCAAAATCGTTAAGCATGCAATTGATTCCACCCTTGTGTAAATCGATTTCACGGGGTTTCAACAGGTAGAAATTCAAACATTTTGAGTGAGAAATCGATTGCATAAGTGTGTAAATCGGTTTCACTTGAAGTCAGTAGCGAATATTGATTGAGAGCAATCGATTGCACAAACATGAAAATTGATTGCACTTAGAAACAGTGGCTAATGATTTGAAAAAAATGAAGCATGCAATCGATTGCACCAATATGAAAATCGATTCACCCAAGTAAAAATTGAATTTTTGCATAGAAAACTTGAGTAAAAGTTTGGATAAGATAAAATATTTCTTTTGACCATTGAGCATCTATGTCTTAAGTTCAAAGTAAGTATTATCATTATACCTTTAAATTTGCTAAGTGCTTTAACCAAAGACTTCATCCATAGTTTCTTTTAGCTTGATAAATAATCTTTGCCTTCTTTTAAAAATGGTTTGTCTTAATCAAAATAAAAGTGCATTTGAGAAGCTTGATTTTACATCTCTCTCTCACACACACACACATTTTAATTTTCATAGGTTATTGCATGTTTAGGTTTATCCTCTCTTGGTGTAGTTTATCGTTAATTCCCGTTGGTAGGATTTGTTACATAAGTTTAGGTTTTTTTAGAATTGGAACCTATTTGTGTTTTAGTTCTAATTAAAATCTATAGACTAGCAGTGATAGAATTCTATAGCAATTTTTGATTGGTAAAACACACATATCGTGTAGTTTACAAATTGTCAATTTGTATAATTTGTAACTCTTTGGACATAATATTTAATCAATTCAAGTAATATTTGTGAAATGTTTATTTGAATTTGTGATTGGTTTCCAATTGAAGCATAAGGTCTCTATTTGCGCTTTAAGACTTCCCCATTTGAAAAACTATGATATTTCTTTTTGAAAAGCAGACAAATTTTTGAAAGGGTCTATTCTCCTTCTCTAGACTGTTTCTCTACTTCATATTCCTACCCAACAATGACCACACGACAGATAGCAGTTTTTTGTTTTTTGCAAGCAACATGTTATTGTTGCGGTAAAGCGGCAAGCAAAAGTAAGTATTTTTGTTTTATCGTCTCCATAGGGATTAGTGAGAGGGAAAGAATGTCGTTCAATAATATTTATGTTATGAGCTTGGTTTTGAATAGTTTAAAAGTATATAGTGTGGAAAGTAAAATGTATGAACAAATAAATAATACATTATTTAGAGAGGAGATAACTCGTTGGGATTGTATTTCATCTACCCATCAAATACCTAAATCTTCGGATCAATTGTGCGTAGGGGTTAACATAGGTCATGCCAATAACAGGGGCCTACAGGATATCCTATATAGGTGCAGGTCAGGACATTTTTTTTAAATAAAAAAGGCTCAGACTTTTTTATAGGCCTACTTAGTTAAAAAGGCTAGGCCACAGGTTGAAAAAAAACCTTTTAAGTCTATAAGGCCGACCTATTTAAATAAATATGAAAAAAAATTTATTATATGGTGTTTGTATTTTAAATTAAAATACAAAAATAAAGTTTAGATGTATTATATGATGTATGCGTGCTAAATATGGTGTACGTGGTAGTTGACAGATAACAAACATCTTAAGTTGATGATTACATATTTGATTTTAGGCAGATGTATTTGGAACAACTTCTCTTAGATAGATGATATCAATTTGCTTAAAAACACTTATGGATTATGATAAATATATTTTAAGTTTTTTTATTTATAAATTTTAAAAAATAAGTATGAGTGTTGCAATTCTGTGAGTGAATTTTAGTGGTGAAAGTTATTATGTGTGTTGCACATTATGTTATAACTAAAGTTAAAAATTGTATCATTCACTACAAGATTATTGAGACGCATTTTCTAATAGTCCACTCTCTTAATATGTTTTGTGACATTATTTAAATTGTGCAAATTCAGTTGGTTAGTAAAATATTGTGGGTGTGAATATCAGGGTCATAAATTTCGATATTGAATTTAGGCTCAATTGTGTGGGGTATATGGACTTGAACTAAGGAAGTGATTATGGGGGCGTAGGAATTAAGGGCTTAAGCCCAGAACCTGTTTTGAAGGCCCGATAACGTGGGGTGCACACTAGGCTTCAATTGTTAAAAAAAATAAAGCCAGGGGCGTTAAAAAGAATTGGGCTCGGCCTAAAACAATTTTTAAGAGAGTTTGTTTGGTGAGTGAGCGCACACAGTGTAATGGTGGTGATGCACTATTTTGATTGTTTGATTGTGATTAGAGGGTGTCGTACCCTAAATTTGTCCTACCTCGATGATTTTATTTTTCGAGATTAAAATAGAAGAAATATTTAATTAAAGATGGTACAACAGTATCTGGTGGTCCATCTTTATCCGACTAGGGGGTGTACCTTAAATTCAGGAAAGCGGGGCTTTCTAAATCAGAAAGACTCGTGTGTCCGTGAACCCATTTGCACAGCATGTTGGCCAATGGCCCATGAGATTCGAAATGGAAGATTATTTCAAATAGTTATTAAAAATTCTTAAAAGCCCACTTAAGCTTAAGTTGTTATTAGTAAAAAAGAGAGGGTGGAATTAAATATATTAAAGCCCATTTAATTTGTTGTTAGCAAGAGAGAAGCAAAAGGGGGGGGGGGATATAATTATAAACTGCAAGCCTTTTAAACTGTTTCTAGGGTGGCTCATTGCTTTGTTGTTTAAGGAAAAGTAGTATTAAAACTCTTGTTATTATAAAAATAAATAAACAAATATATTTCTTTGTTAAAAATGTAATATATAACAACGCAAGGCCCAAGTGTTAAAACCTTTATTGCTATATTAGAAAAATTAATTTTGCTTGGACTGGATAATAAAATAACAACGCAAGGCCCAAGTGTTAAAGAAAACCGTTACTGTATCAATTCAACAAAGATTACGCATGTTTTTCTCAATGAACAAATACTGTTCAAATCAAATTTACTCAAATCAACTAAATCAAATCCAAAATCATATTTATTTTCATTGAATCTAGATCTAAAATATACAGAATATATAGATTATCTCAAAATCAATTACGATTACAGTATACTGAATCAAAGCAAATCTCAAGTTTTTACAGTATCAAATCTTTACAAGATCTCAGTCCCAATTATATCTCAATTGAACATACAACAACGAATCAATTACACAATTCTGAATCCCCAATTTATTCTAATTATCCTAAATCTAAGGGAAGATTAAACTGTAACAGCAATTCAAACCCTAAAATTCTTACCCTATAAATACTAATAAGAAAGTACATAAAAGAGGAGGCGAGAAGACCTTTTACGGTGACAGAAAGAAAATAAAGTAGAGGGTTCAATACAAAGACGAAAGAGGATATACAGAAACAAAGAACAAGGACGGAGGGGTTTATTTGAGAAGAATTTGGAACTACCATCGAAGCCGCGAAGATTGAGAGAGGGCGGTTGGGGCTTCAACTTCTGAAACCCTAACCGTGAGCCGCCACCGCTATCCTCCGCCGCTAGCCACC